GGCGGCGGGCGCCCTCGGATTTACCCCCTCAGCGCCTCGGCCCCCGGCCCCGGCAGCCGCCCTTGGATGGGGAAGCTCCAGCTCTCCGCTCCAAGGAGCTCCTGTGATTAAGCCATCTTTGTCCAGCACGCTCACCTGGCAAGCTGCCACTGTTCTGTTCCACAGGATCATCTTCTCGGGCTGGAGAATAACCTCCTGGTAAACTGTTTCGGCGGAGCACTGCAGGAAAGCCTGAGGGCAGAGCCGGAGGAGTCAGTCTGTCCCCCAGGCCACTTTGGGGAGGTGATTTTTAAGGAACACGGGGCACTTCACATCACAAAGAACAACTGGGATGACTAGGGAGGAGGGGTGAGGCTGGTCTGGGGCTCGAGCTCCCACAAAGCCAAGGCTGTCCCCTCTTCCAATCCCATCTCCATGGGCCTGGAGGGCACACGTGGGGTCGGAGAGGATGGAGCAGACCTCAGGTTTCTACTGCCTGCCAAGGTCTGTGCTGGTGTAAGAGGGCAAGTGTCTGTCTGTCTGTCACACGGTGAGACAGACAAACCCTGGGGCTGACCCAGGCTGGCCCCTCTCCCACCTTCACCCTGCTTCCTCAGCAGTTCTGCTGCGTGCGTGGTTGCTCTGGGGAGCTGCTGAAAAGCTCTTTCGAGCCCCAGCAGAGGCTACTTTCATTTCTCCACCTCTCCCTGGGACAGGGGATCTTTGGAGGCAAACGGTTAATGCAGTACAGTGGGACCATCCAGCTTTTCCTTGAACAGGGAGCTGCTCCATCGGCAGGCTCTGCCACTCCAGCAAGGCAACATATGCACTGGAACAAAGAAAAGCCACCGCAGCACCGAGGCTTCATTAGAGCGTGGTTTAGAGCCAAGCCACTCCAGAGAGAGGGCACAGAGCAAGGCACCTCCGAGCAGCTCTCCTCCATGCCAGGCAGCACCAGACGCACACTCAGCCCTGGTCTTGCTGGCAATTAGTTCCAATTAGCCTCCTTGGTCAGATTAGTCCTAGATGCTGGGGTTGGAAGCGAGTCTCGCAGTCACCTGCTCCCACTTCTACCAGCAGCAGAGACTGAGGCTCGGCATATTTGCTGGGGAGTTTGTCTGCCAGCCAAGGGGTTTTCCTGGAGAGATTCCCTAGAGCGTGCGGTGCAGTTCATCTGTCTTGAGCAAAGAGGGTGTGCTCTGCAGCCTGGCCCGTGCTGCAGGGCCAGGAGGGAGTGTGAAAGCTGAGCCGTGGCTCCAAGCAGGGCAGTTGCTCTTTGCCTGGACCACAGGGACGAAGGAAGTGATCCAGGGAGGGTCTTACCTTTAAAATAAAGGTCTTGCCGTGGAAAGGTATTTCAAAAGTGTAAACAACATCACCAAAGTCCTGTGTGAGCAATCAGAAAGCAGTGTTGACGTTAGCACAACAAACCACTCCTGGCTGGGGTAAAGTCTGTGGCTGCAGGGGCCACCCCCTCCCGTGGGGCTCTGAAGGACCCTCCCCAGCCCTCAGACATCCCCTGTCCCCTCACACACCGGGCAGCACCCTTGGCACTGAGCACGTTTCAGAGGCACATGCCTGAATTTCCATAAACAAAACAATATCCAGAGCAGCAGCAGGGATGAGACAGAAAAAGAACCCACCCCATGCCAGGCTGCAAACTCACGTCAAGGTCAAATTCTCTTTGCTACCAACACGGGGGCAGGAGAAAGGGGTGAGTTTGCCAACACTGCTGTTGTTACCTACATCTGAGAAGAGACTCCCCAGAGGGGTTAGGGATGGACAGATGATAACCTTTCATCATTAGTCCTGTGTTAAACTCTGATTAGTCTATTTAAATCCATCCCCCTTTGGATAAAGAAAACAATCTGCCCAGCTAGTTTGGCATCAGACAATGGATCACTTGACAGGGGAATTTGAAACACCAGATGAGACTGCAGTTTGTAGGACTCACACCCTGACCATGCTGCGAGTCCACAAGCAGAGAGGAAGTTTGGGTTTTGGGAGCAGAGATGCTGTCCTTTCCCCTCCAGCCTTCAGAAAGGAGCTCGAGGGACCCTGGAAAACTACTGTAAGAGCCCAGGGAATGAAGCAGGGCAGGGGCAGAGCTGGGATCACTTTGCTCTGTGCACCTCCACGCTGCCCAAAGCCAGAGCTGCAACTCTCAGACCCCTTTGGCAAAGCCACAGCAGAAAGATGTCAGGCAGAGACATCCCCCATTTACACTCTGGCACCCACAAGGTCCCTGTCCTGGGGAGGGGGGGACACAAACAGCTTTGGGGGTGGGAGGACACCCTGTGCCCCACATTATCCTGCTCCCACAGGCCAAGAAAGGTTTGGCTTGGTGTGCCCAGGATGCTCAAAGGCACCTTGTTGTGGAGCAGGGGTCAAAGCTGAGGCACCCACTGTGGGGCCAGCATTCCTCTACTGCTCCCCAACACCAGCAGCCACAATTTCATGTCCCAACGCCTACCAAAGGTGAGCTGCCCACCCCTGCCCACCTGCCATCCAGAGGGAGGAGTGCTGGGCTCCCTCCTGTCAAACGGGAAGGCAATTAAACGTCTAATTAAATAAGAGGGGATTTTACATTGAACTGAACTGGAATAGATTCCTAATTCAATCAGGTAATTGTAACGCTTGTTAATTTTTCATGTCGCAAGGAGGTTTCAAAAGCCTCATTTGTCCTCCCATTTTTGCTAAGCCATCCGTGGTCTCTGCTGCCAGCTGGGGTGGGGGGGACACTTGCATTGTTTTTCTCAAACTTCCAGTTCTCCTCCTGGGCAAGGATTTGGTCCACGACCTCCATGGCGTCTTTGCCTTGTCGGATGTACTCCTTCTCCTAGGAGAGAGGGGAAGCAGCTCAGGGGCTGGCTCTGCAGCAGGCCTGAAGCGTGTGTGCGAGGCTCACGGCCACCCTCCCAGCCTGGCAGGGGGGAAGGGGCTACCTCCCATCACCACAGCACAGAAATCTCTTAATTTGGGTCGCAGAGGCCTCATTCTGGAGCTCAAGTCACACTCCCTGCCCTGGCTCGTGTCCACGCACCAGCTGCGGCCACCAGCGAGCCCCCCGCCCTGGCAGGAGGGGTTCCAGCAGGGAAAGGGCTGGGGGATGAGCAGAGATCCCTTCCCTGGACGTGCCAGAGCTGGGGCTGAGGGCAGCAGAACCACTTGGAAAAGAGCCCGAGGTGCCCAGCCAGGTCTGGGCAGAGGGGCTGCCCTGTGGGGCATGGCTCAGTGGGGTGATGCCCACCCAGAGCGGGCACCAAGGAGGGATGGGGAGAAGGGGACAGGAGCAGAGCCAGGATCACAGGGGGGA